GCTCTTCCGTGTGCAGAACCGGACCTCACGAGGGGCGTGTGGCTGTGTGTGCGGGCTCATGTCTGCACCTTGCCGTCTCCACGTGGGTCTCTGCTGCGTGACCGAATGTGATGGTGCGTGTGCGCGTGGCACGTTTGTACCCTGGGCGTGTGTGTGCGTGGGTGCACGCGTCACACGGGGGGCAGTTTGCAGCTTTTGTTTCCTGCTGGGATCTCATCTGAGAGCACCTGAGAGTTGGCCCCCTGGGCAGAGGTGCTGGCCACAGAGTCCCGGCTGGCCAAGGCTGTGGCGTGGCTGGGAGCTGTGACCTGAGTGTTGGATGTGATGCTGGCGGCCCCTCGCCATGGAGTGCCGAGCTGGCCAGAGAAGGGGCTTTTCCAAAGGCGCCCACAGACCTGAGGGCTTCTTCCAGAGCCCGAGCCCCAGCCCCGCGGGCCTCCCGCCTCCCGGCCGGGTGTGCTTACAGGGCAGCTTGTGGGGCCTGTGGGCTGGCGGGGTGCCACGTTCAGTGGTCAGATTCGGGGCCGCGCAGGGGCTCAGCTGCAGGAGAGGGCGTCCTGACGCCTGGGGTGGGGCAGCTGGTGGCGACGGTCGGAGCCCCAGCCCCGATCTGCCGCTCCCGCCGTTGCCCTCCAGTGGTCCCCTGGGCGAGCCTCCGTCTTCCATCTGGAAAGTGAGGACTTGCTCCCTGCCACTGCCTGCCAGGGCTGTGCGTGCAGGGGTGCACAGCAGCGCCCCTTCCCAGACGTTGTGCGGTCGCTCTCATACGAGGTCAGAGTGTGAGAAGGACCCGGAAGGGGCTCGGCCCGGCTTCCACGTGGGCGGCACTCCGGGTCAGAGGCACCCAAGACTCACAGGCCTCGGCCTGCGTTCTCCTCGTGGCGGGGCTAGGCTGTGGAGACGTGGGGCAGCCTCACGTTCCCGGCCCCTGCGGACTGTTAGGAGGGGGCCCCTCCGCTCAGAGTGAGGCTGGGTGGAGCCGCAGGGCGGGAAGGTGTTTGGTCAAGGCCACCCGCCCGCCCGCTCCCCCAGGCGGAGAGGACCTGTGCCCTCCTGGGCTGCCCCAGAGAGCAGGCGGGGCCCTCAGCCCACAGTGCTTCGCAGGGCGGCAGACTCAACCCCGGCACGGTGGCCTTCGAGGGACAGAGTTCCCCATGGAAGGAGCTGTATGGCGGGGACTCAGCTCTGCCACTGTCTGAGCCCTTGCACGGGTCTTGCCCAGGACCTCCTTGGCAGGGGCAGGCATGGTGGGTGCCTGGCACAGTGAGGTCTCCCCGGACCCCCCTGGGAGCCGTCCCTGCCGTCGGCCACTCCTGGAGCTTCTCCCAGGTCTGGGTCTGGCCTTCATGGGGTCACATGTGGCAGACGCACTGCCTGGCCGGGAGTTGAGGGCGCCCGCCCCTTGGAAGGGCTGTTTCTCCCCGGTTGGTCTTCAGGGATCCTGAACCCCTGGGAATGTGCACGTGATGTGAGTGTCCCTTAAATATGGTCATAGCCTCCAGCTGAGGGACAGAGGTGGAAGGAGTCCTTCCAGCAGTTGGGTGGGAGGATAGATGGGCTTTGGGGCAGCTCCGTCGGGACAGGACAGGGGATAACATGGCAGTCACCAGCTGACAAGCACTCACGGAGTGCCAGGCACTGTTCTAAGACTCTCAGAGCTGGAATTCCCTCCACAAATCCCCATACTTGGCTTGCAGACTTCCTTCCACGGGGGACTCATTACCTACTCTGGCCTTTAGGCCTACTTTGGTACACTTAGATTCCTATCCAAACTCCTCATCCTGGCCCACGGGCACACACGGTCTGCTCGCCAGCCTCCCCTCCACAGCGCAGGTGCGCTCGGCCCTCTCTGTGCCCCGTGTCTCCGGGGGTCTCCTTCAGTGGTAGCTGTCGTCAGTCTTGCAGTGGTTCTGGCTTTGTCCTTCCCATGTCACAGGCTCTTTGAGGCCTCCCAACAGCCCCGTGATGTGTCGGCACCATCACATTTTACAGAGGGGGACACTGAAGCCCAGAATGATCAAGTCACGTGCCCGCCGGGACAGAGCACGACCCACCCACGCTGTGGCCAGCACAGTTCTCCCACGTGCAGCCCCAGGCCCTCACCCTCTCCCTGGGCACCTACTGTCAGTCATGGTGGCAGGTGTCCCATCTCTTCCCCAAGGCTGTCAGCTGCCAGGCAGCACCTTATGGGCCGGGAGAAAAGAGCGGAGGGCTGACAACAGCCAAACAAAATCTCCTGACGTGCCAAGAAGGCTCCGTAGTCGTAGCAAGTCCACGAGCAGGCGTCAGCCTGTCGTCCCATTTTAGAGGGGGAAATTGCGGCCAGAGCGGTTAAGGAAGTTGTCCACTGTCACACAGCTGGTACGTGGCAGAGCCAGGCCCTCAGCCCGCCTGTAGCCTCAGGATGTCTCTGCAGCCACTCCACACCTCCAGTGGGGGGGTGGACCTCGCCCTGAGCCAGGCTTGCCTTCCGTGTGGGGAGCTCACCACCCCCAGACCCCTCCCTTCTTCCTGGTGGTCTTGGCGAGCAGTTGACTCTTCCTCCTCTGGGGCTGGTTCTGGCCGTGGCATCGTGTCCTCTGCCCTGCCCTGCACACCTTTGGGCCGTGAACGGTGTCCCCCAAGGTCGTCACTGGCCCAGGTCACCAACCGCCCCTCCCTTCGGCATCTGAGCCTGAGCCCAGTACGCCCTCCGCTTCCCCCGTAGTGGCCTGGTTCCGGAGCCCTGGAAGGGGCTGGGGCCAGGCTGTCCCTATTTGGATCTGACCGTCTAGGAAGAGCTGTTTGCCACCTTCCCAGAGATTTCCTTGCTTCGCTCCCAGACGCAGTTCCGTGCAGCGAGAAGTCCTGTTCCGTCCACAGACAGTGCCCTCCTGCCGCGGCTAATAGGGTTACTAACGCCGTCCAGCAGCCCCACGTGGTGAGAGGCCCCAGAAGGAGGCTGGCAGGCTGAGGTTGCAGAGCCAGGGGCAGGGTCCGAAGCTGCGGCCCCACTGCCGCGACCCTTCCCTGCAGTCGCAGAGCCCGAGTGCTGTCAGGCAGGTCGCGCACTGCACGACCCTGGGGCACCGTTCCCACCGCAGCCCTTAGCCTGACCGTTCACAGCGGTGGCTTTCTGGCTGACGGAGGGGGCGGCTCCGGAGGGTCCTCTGGACCCCTGTGCTTCCTTGTCCTGCACCCCAGCAGCACCGATCATGGTTGTGACTCACCAGGGTCCAACTCCCAGCCGTCAAGCGATCGCCCTCCGTGCTCCTGGCCTCTGCACCCTCGCAGTCCTTGAGGCCAGTCTGCCCTTCCCTGTGTCCAGGAGGAGCAGCCTCAGAGAGCTTGGTGACATGCCCGGGTGGTCCAGGCAATAGGTAGCAGAGCTTCCTGCCCACCTGGCCCCTTCCCGTGACGGCTGCCAAATGGGAGAAAGTGGTGAGGGGGTACAGCGGGGGTCTTCTCAGGGCCCCTGTGCTACAGGGAGAGGAGGGGGTGTGTGGCTGGGAACAGCTCTTCTCAGGCCTGGATGTCCCTCGGCTGCCTGCCCCTCCCAGGCATCCCCCTGATGAGAGGCCGCTGTGGCCCTTGTGTCACCACTTTGGCCTCTGAGACAAGTCCTGGGAGGTGGACAGGAATCCCAAGGACCTCACTGGACGAGAGAGGACGGACTCTGAGGCCCAGGACAGGTGGTGAGTTTGCTCAGGGCCACGCAGGCTCGCCGTGGTGGCGGCGCGGGGTCGGGGGGG